TGCGGAGCATGCACCTCACATGCACAGTCAGCAAACGCAAGCATCACCCAACACCCAACAGCACAGTCAACCCAACAGACTGACCCAAGCAGATAACATGAAACTCAATGGCAAGCAGCCGCTTTCAACCCCCATCCCGTCTCAGAATTACACCGACCACCGTCAACACCCTGCTGGCTCAAGAATCAGCATCTTCCAACCATCCAACACAAGGATTCATCCACGCCTCAGCCCGCAGCAAAGCCCCCCCGCCACCAGCCGTCACATGCTGCACCCGTGGAMCAGAAGGTAGTTGCCTCAGTCAAAAATGGATACTGCGCCGGTGTCACCTTGGTGTATCATCGGTTGAATTGGTGGGGAACACCTATCTGGCTGGACAAAGCTCGTACTGTCGAGCTTGATCATCAACTCAGTAACAAGTTTAACCGCTGGTCAGCTATTCTTGACTATGTARGTWGACCACGTATGCTCAATAACCTCCTCTTCCGTCGTTTCTTTGATCAGGGAGTCGAGCYGACAKAACACATTTGGCSAGACTTSCTTCTTGCCAGGRGAACSATCGAACGTTCATTTCTTGAGTGCCCAGGCAAAGAGATTGCCGATAATGGCAATCTTGATGATGCCGAGCTCCTCATCGGGAGGATCCTCGAATCGGAGTACAACACCTCACCGCTGCACGTTCTCATCAGTGTCTGCCGTAAGTATAAGCACGCCTTGCACGATGATTTCGTTCCATTTCAAATTAACAGGTACGCCAGACTTGAATTCCTGGCTGATCAGCTTCCTAAAGAATGCAGGGTTGATAACCCATACCCTAGGGCATGCAGAAGGTCATGTCCACTTGCCACATACACTCCGCAGAAGCATTGGGTTTGTTTAGAATATGTGCGATGGCGGACAGAACAATTGGAAGCCAAGAAGGCTGCACCTGAGGGCACAAACAACGACCACAACACTGCATCACCAACACCGATGAACAAAGACCTCGCAACAGTTTCATCTCCGCCACCTGCTCCTCATCCCGCCCGACGCCATCTCTTCTTGCCACCGACTCCGCCACCTTTTCTGCTTACCCCCATCAATACCCACGTCGCCTCTTCCCTTCCTGCAACTGAAGCTCCTTTTCCGCTCTCCGCAGACGCTAACTGGCTGACACAATTGGAGGGGATTTCTCCGCACGCTCACGTCGATTGATTCCAATCACAGGTAGCAGCAGATAAGTGCGGTGTTGGCTACAAAGAATCAGAACAGCAACAAATGGACTGCACTCGAAGCCATGCTCTACGTCGACTACTATCGCCAAGGCCATGACGAAGTCACGACGTTTGAGGATTACAAGAGCGCTGCAGCGTCCGAGATTGCACTCCATGAGAAACTGCGCGGTTCCTCAGTTGTCAAAGCATTTCCGTGACATTGTCGTCAATGTCCATCATATCATGAAGCAGGCATAGTGAACTGTACACATTCTAAGAGCCAGCTACCTATATAGTACGAAAGAGCCATGCACAAGGCAATATGCACATTGAACGTACAGGTTGAATAAATGGGACATCAGTGCATGACAGAGGTAGACGATCAGAGTTGTTCAGACGTGCGCAGACTTTGACAGGGTGGACAGAACACCTGCTCATTTTCGATTTTATGTCAATTCTGAGC